TTCCGTGCCAGTTCTGTGCTATTGTTATCTACATTTGTCATTATATTCCTTATCAACTGTTGAACTTGGTTGTCTGATAATAAATTGATATTTGAAAATCAACATTTTTAAATGTTCAATRTTGAATTGWTGAGTATGTTGATGACAGTGATGACTCCCAATTTAGTAAGTTCATATCTATCGTTCTTCATAAAAATTTAAAATTGTTCAAACTTCTAAGGAAAATAGAATATTTCAGAATTATAATTTAATTTAAAGAGGAATATTGTTCATGCTCCTTGTCTGCAACTATTATGAAAATGCGTAGTCTCGGTGTTCTTAGTAGTTTGCTGGCCAATCGTTYGTTTTCTACAAACAAACCAAATGTGTTGGTCTATAATCGTAAAACCAAAACAAAAGAACCATTGAAATGTAATAAACTTCTGACATGGTACGTGTGTGGTCCCACGGTATATGACTCAATGCATATTGGGCATGCAAGGTCAGTATTTTTTTTTGTTATGGTATCTAAATATCATTTAAAAAATGTAAAAAAAAAATGTATTCTATATCATTATAGCTGTTACGTTAAGTTTGACATTATCAGAAGAATTTTGGAAAACTATTTTCAATTTTCTGTATTTCAAGTAATGAACATTACCAATGTGGACGATAAAATTATTTCAAAAGCAYGTGCCTTAAACGTGGACCCTCTTCAATTAGCAAGGTTCAGATGTTGGATCATTCAAACATAATTTATTATGCTGAAATATTTATTTATTTTTGTCTATAAAATAATTATAACATCAGTTATTTAATGATTTTAGGAAGTACGAAATAGAATTTATTGAAGATATTAATTTGCTAAGCATAAAACAACCAGATATTATAGCAAGAGTAACTGATTTYATTCCCCAAGTCTTAAACTTTATTCAAAACCTTTTCGATAAAGATCTAGTCTATTCGACAGACGATGGTGAGTTTTGAAAATAATTTGAAAATATTTGGTTATAAATCTTGAAAAAAGCCTTTTAGGTTTAATAGTTTCAATGTAAAAAGGTTCGTTGTTTTTTGATACAACCAAGTTTAAAAGATATGGAAAAATTGTCAAAGTGCCTGAAGTTGTTCCACATACATTCAAAAAAAGTAATTTAGATTTTGCTCTTTGGAAAGCAACAAAACCAGGTGAACCTTCGTGGGATTCRTCATGGGGACCYGGGAGACCAGGATGGCACATAGAATGTTCTGCTATTGCAAGGTATCTACTTATTTTATTTGTGTTCATTATAAATTATTTTTGTAAATACATGTATCTAATTTTTTTTAATGTTTACAGCCATTATTTTGGATCCAGTATTGACATACATTCYGGAGGTATAGATTTGCTATTTCCACATCATGAAAATGAAGAAGCTCAATGCTGTGCATACCATAATGTTGACGATTGGGTCAAACATTGGATACATACAGGTTCTTACTTAATTATTTGCTTTCTCTCATTAAATACTAATAAAATGTAATGTTTTTCAGGACATTTGCATRTTGGAGATAATATTAAAATGTCAAAATCGTTAATGAACACCATCAGTGTTAAAGAATTACTTAATTCATATACCGCTAATCAATTTCGAACATTATGTTTATTATCAAATTACAAAAGTGGTAGGTAAATTAAATTCTGACACTAGCTTTCAAATTTCAACTGATAAATACTTCTAGAAAGATCATAACAATTTTGTTTTATAATTTGTCACCTGTTTAAAAATTTTAGATTTGGAATTTAATGATAGTACAATGGACGTAGCATGTGGAGTATTAAAAAAATTTGATTCTTTCATCGCCAATTGTTATGCTCATTTAAATACTTACAGCAGTAAACATATTCCTGATATTACATTATTAAAAGTAAGTAAAYTATGAAATTGGAATAAAACAAATCTTTTGCCACYTTAATTTATCATTTTTATTTCAGAAAATGTCTGATATTGAAAATGATATATTAATCAATTTAGCAGATAATTTTAATACATCGAAAACTTTAAATTTACTTATTGAGCTCATTAACACATTCAACAAATTACTTACAGTGGTAATGTTTAACCTTTTTATATATTTTAAATTAATTATATATATCCAGTAAAAA